TCCACAGCTTGTATTCTGTCTAAGCAGTTCAAAATTGTTTGTGCACACAGACAATTAAAGTCCATTTTCCTACTGGAAAAAGATATGCTCTGAAGATCTACAACAACTCATACCTCAAAGAATACATTGAGATACAGGTTATCAAATTGATATCTAGGCAAACAAAGAAACATGCCGTGAAAATCTAAAAAACTCATCAAATATTCCACCACAACAAAATAACACCAAAACAAAAAAAGTATGGGATGGGCGCCACCAGTCCTGATATTCCCACCTATGCCCATATTCTCTTCCTTATGCCTATGCCCTATGCCCCCTCCTCTTCCATTGATGCACTCCCTACACTGTATATACTAACCACTGAACAATTATAGGTGTATAGTGTTATCAATGTCTTTAAAAACCACCATACATGTACTCTGAACCATATGAGACAATGACTTGTATATCTTACAACCCAAAATGAACACAGAAATGAACACGTCTATACATAAACTTCCTCTTTAAAAATGAACCATGCTTGCCTCACAAACTGCTTCCACAATCCACAACGGTCCTCACAAACAAAAATACTCAAAAATAGTTAAACAAGAAATGAAAAGAAAAATCTGAAGACCCATACATCCCCACTCAATATGTAAATCAGAAACAACACTTACCTTGTCCACATGCCTAAATTCCCACAAACCTGAACAAAATCCTTACCTAACATGAACCCTGCACTCCCCTTTCCACACACCTATGAAAACACCAGTAATACAATCAGTATCATAAGTATACATAAGTTGACACACAGAAAAAACCCATATGACTACGAACCCACACTACCAAACATAAATATGACCCCACAACATATTACATACCCTGCTACCTTCAATAACCTGAACTCTTACAATAATACACCTTTTCCACGGTGAGATGATGACCAGGCTTGTCTTGCCCAGTTTACAACCCCATGAATTCACCAAAAGTACACCTTACCTTGAGGATTTGAACCCAAAACCACCCTGCCCTGCACACAGCCCCAGAGCTTGACCAAAATACACCCTTCAATGGTGGACTTGAACCCAGGACTCCCCTGACCCGCCTACAACCCCGAGTCCTTAAAAAAAATACACCTCACCCAGGTGGAATTGAACCCAGGAACACCTGGCCCCGCTCACTGACCCGGGAAAGTTACATATAACATGTTGAAAACCTACACATCCATGTCACAGACACGTGACAGAATACACACGGGTCTGGGACCGGTAAGCTCAAAACCTAATAGGTCTTCAAACCTAACCCCCGGTGGATATCACACCATCTAACCTAACAACCGGTACCGCCAGACGGTCCTGGGACACCCCACGCACCCAGTACACCGTACCAGGGCCCACGCACCGCTGAGTAAGCCCACACAGCCACTATCACAGCCCCCAATCACAAGTCACGGGCAGGCCAGTGCCTCCCACCGACCCTAGCAAGTTATGAGAAAGTTATTAGAAAGTTATGAGAAAGTTATGAAATGGACATCAAATGGATAACATCCATCAATTGAGAATTTGTTGAGAAGTGGTTGGGAGACCACCAAAATTGAGATGATGTCATACAGCATCATAAACCTGTACAAACCTGCTCCTGTATTTCCCCACCAAGAATATATAGTTTATTAACCTTTGTGACATAAATTGACTGAGTTATTGAGGTTTGAAAAAAAATCATGGACAAAAAATACTATTTTTGTACTATACCTAAGAATTGATTCTGGAATATCTTCCAGCTTCATCAATATACATACACAAAAAAATTGATATTCCTTTTGAAAACATGTTTCTCCACATTTTTGTCCCCTAAAGGCTTCCTGTATGGGCAGTATTTCCACATGTAATTCCTGAATGTGTCTGCAAGTTTGATTTTCTGAAGTTCTTTGCCCCAATAAAAATTTTGAGGCAACATATTGCCAAAATCATTCTGAATTTGATTGATTTACATGTAGATGGTATTTGACAAAAATTTCTGCCATAAACTTTGCCATATTCTGCCTAGAAACAAAGAATCCATCAAATTGTTGACTGCTCATGTACACACCACGATTACATATAGAAATACTGCCCGTACAGGAAGGCTTTACGGGACAAAAATGTGGAGAAACATGTTTTCAAAAGGAATATCATTTTGTTTGTGTATGTATATTGATGAAGCTGGAGGATATTCCAAAATCATTTCTCAGATATAGTACAAAAACAGTATTTTTTGTCCGTGATTTTTTTTCAAACCTCAATAACTCAGTCAATTTATGTCACAAAGGTTAATAAACTATATATTCTTGGTGGGGAAATACAGGAGCAGGTTTGTACAGGTTTATGATACTGTATGACATCATCTCAATTTTGGTGGTATGACATATTTTGCTGGTAACTGACCCAAAATATCTTGATAGCAGATGGATGTTATGCTGAAAACAAATTGAAGTTTTGTTGAAAACATTTTGGAGACGTCGGATGTACTGGCCTGCCAGTGACCAGTAGTTGGGGGCTGTGTATCTGACCGCTGGAACCCACAGCCACCTCCAAATACCTCATTCAACACACCACTCGAAGCCTTCTAACAAACCTCAACCCCAATATGAGCCAAGAAACATCAAAGAGTCAATCCAACACGATCAAAACTCATTTGAAACTACCCCATCAATAATATAAAGGCACGAGGCCTCACAACCAAGCTTTGTTACATGTGCCATGCCAGACAGACCCTCAGTGCTACACCCCTCGATATTAATTATACAGCGGCAGTATCAAATCCATATGCTCCGACTGAGTCCATCAACAATCCCCATTCTGTACCACCCTGATCCATACAACGAAGTGATAGACCTCCCTATTGCTCCACGCAGCATTTTCATTCATTCACATCCCCTGTAAACACCACAACAGTTGTCATCCTCAACCTCGGATTCCGTACCACCCCATTAACCAAACGCAATCACAACTACACCAACCGAATACTCATAATCGTCTCTCCCGCCATGCCATCAACCCTCAGGAATCCTCATTCAATTCGATTTTCACCCCCACCTTGGAACCAACACCGCGCTCGCCCGTTAACATCACCGGACTGGACGATCTACCTATGATACCTTTCGTCATTCTATTTCGCCGCGTCCAGCCGCGAGGTAAGGTTTCTCTGTCAGTGTCAAACCCAACCAAGCACCCTGCGCGTTTTTACAATGCTCAGCCTATGAGACTGATCCTATTCGCAAACCACCATCCTGTGATCCTTTTATACGACAGGACAAATTTCCAAGCGGACTGATCCTATAGCAACTCTTGACATTGCAGCAACTGGCTTCAGGCAAGACTCATATCCATCTCAATTTCCATCCCAAATCCAAATTGAATACTGTCATCGTGATCCTTTGTCAAATGGAACTACACTCCCATACTCGCTTCCCATTACGTTTCAGCAGCATTTTTTGGACTAGGTCGGAGGTATGCAACCTCAAAACTCAATACATACCCTTCATGATCTGACCAATGTCTTCAGTTCGATATCCTACATTTCCCGAAGAAAAGCGAGCTGAGCCACTTCAAAAGTGATGTTCTTACCCAAACCGATACTCTCTCAGCAGTAGAAATTCTTATAGCCACTCAGACCCTCAATTCTGAAATTAAACCAAATCGAGCCTATAAAATAGAAGGACCCATCGGCGCCTCATACCGTAATATACCTGTCTTGACCGAAGAACCCGCCTTTACTATTGGTTTGGATCACGCCGAAGTGCGCCTCAACTGTATGGCGAACAAAGTCTTGGTACAAGGTGTAGGGTTAATTCAGGAGTGGTTCATCCGACACACATCCAACCCTACCTCCTCAACTGAAGTCATCAGAGTTCTGCACCGGGGCCGAGATAACGTTGTGAGTTACTCTTTACTTCTGATTAGAAATAATGCTAACCATTTTTGGTCAGTCAAAAAAAAATGTAGATCTTCAAGCTTGCTACAGCATCGAACCATACATTTCGACACAGCTGAGCATCAACTCGCTCTCCGTCGGTAATCTAATCAGCTTGCGAGGAAATGTTGTTGGGTACCAATCTGAAAACAACGTATGGGAGATCAATGTGAGCAACAAGGCCAGTCCACCAGTAAAACCCGGTCTGACCAATTGATTCTTAGACTTCTGAAATCCAGCTTATAAGTTCCAAAATTCAACAGAGGCGCAGTTGACACCAACGTGGTCTCGCCCCCCTTTAACGTGAGCATAGATCAATCCCAGGCGGCTTTGATACACGTTCGTCGGCACATTCCAATTCAAAAGCACACACTTTGGGTGAAGGCTTTTGTAATTGCACCGTGTTGGTTTCATGCATAAGCTGGATGCCTAGGATGAAGGTGTATTTGTTCTATCATTCCGGGAAGAGAGATCATTTGTAGTCACATGTTTCATACGCTCAGATAATCTAGATTGAAACTAACCTCACAATGGGAATGTCGTACAAGTGCGTCAATTGTCATAGTCCGTGAAAGTGTATAACACTGAGTGTTAAATGTACTGTCATTGATGCGCTCAGGCTACCAGTCCCATACCATCTGTCTTTGTCTTGCAGCGTCATAATGTAGGCAGCGAGCTTTGTTGCACAAAGACTTCAGCCCATAACGTGCCGAAACCCGATGCCTGTCCAATACATTTTTGAACATTTCCCACGTCGAGAAAAAACTAAGCATATGCTGTTTATACTACCGGCGCAGACCCGAGAGGATACTCAATGGGCCTCGGATCCCCGGGGCACACGGAGATCTTTCGTAACTTTGATATTACCCAACCCACGCTCTGGAAAGCTGTGCTACGGCCTTCTCCACGTTCCAAGTTGATTCTAGACTCGATCACCATTGTGGACCAGATCCAGGTCATTATCAAGGCGTTTCCAATGCTTCGGACCACCTGGGCGAGTTCGGCCCATAGATCCTGAGCCCTGGACCAGCCAGACGTAATGATCACTTCTACGACTACGCCATACAATGCACTTGATGCCAGCCACGTTGTCTTTGATATCGAGACGGGATAGCGGTACGCCGGTCGAACTTCGTCACAAGCGACGACCAACGCTCGCCACGCTTGGCCAAGCAGCAACAGCACAGGTCTATGGAATTCACGCTCAAACACTATATAACCACGTACGTAGCTTCGACATGACAAGTCTCCATCACATCTTTCCAATTCTCTATATTCACGACAAACTGTAGTTTTTTAGCGGACGGATCGGAAAACTTCTACACTCCTCTTCTTCGTATTGCCCATTTGTCACGCAATAGCATAAAAATTGAACCTCAAGAGGCACTGCAGGACGATGTCGACCGGTTCTAACGCTCCTGTGAAAAAGTCACATCCTTTCAATATTTCGGGCGTGGTCGAAGTATCAGAGATAGTGAGTCTGTTGCCTGCCGGAGGGCTTCCACAGGCTAACCATTGTCTCTAGCTTGCTCCATTAAACGGTCAGAAATTTACGTACCGGAACGCCACAGTCTCGATAACTTGCAACGGGCTCAACGACAACAATGAGCGAGAATATGACGGTATCCTCACCGGCTACTCGACCGCCGAGCACGAGGTTTTAGATGAACACTGCTATTCGATCAAGGGTAGGATGCTGCCATCGTCTGAGACCGCCGACTTCCAAATCTATTTCGACCCAGTGCACAAGATTGACGTCGGCGACAGCGATACCTTTGCTGGGACACTGCACAACAATACCGCAGCAAGCGGCTTCGGTATCGTTGGTGCTAAGGCTGAGATACCAGATGTGGAGTCGGACTCTGCGGTGTTGGTTTTCGTCATGAAGCACACTGATTATCGCCCTGAAGTACGTCCATTGTAATCATCCTCCTTTCTGAGGGGTACCCGACTGACATCAAAACAGAACAAATCCACAGTCAAATTTGAGGTCGAATACCGGATGAGACCGACCCCGAACTTAAAAAAAACCCAGGGTTTGGTTCAAGAGGGTAAAGAGACTTTGGTCCACGGGTACATTGTGGATTGGAGCGAAGAGCATCATCGTTGGATTGTTGACGTCAGGTTGTCTTTCTAATTCTCCACATTGAGTCCGTTCTGATACCGTCACTTTCTCTGGATTGAGTGAGCAGGTTACTGGCCTTAATGTTGGGAGCGGCCATCAAGTTGTGTCGAAAAAGAAAGTCGGCACCGGAAGCCAAGTCACGGCGACGGGACGTGTTAAGCCAGCCAAGTAAGTTCGCGTTAATCAAGTTTGCTTCATCTGCTAACATGGACCGCCTAGACATAATTCCAGTCCGATAAAGCCAGTTCCAGCAACCCCTAAGAAACGGGCTGCTCCAGCCACCAAAGCCAAAGCTCGGGCGGCCAACCAAGCGAAGGCCAAGCCGGATATTGATCAAGGCAAGGAAGCTGAACTCAAGCAGGAAGAGCTCCCTTTGCCACAGCCGAAGAAACATGCTGCAGCCGTCAATAAGGGTAAGGCACGCGCTGCACCGCAGGTTGAGCTGGACGACGAGGTCGGCGAGGATTTTTTTGATGACGATCTCGGCGACGACATCGAACCTCCGCAACAGGGTTCGAGTACTGGACTGGGTACCAAGGCTGGGAGGCAACCCAAGCGGGCACGGGCCTCTTGATTCCTGATCATTGATATCTCATGTTGTGTCTTCTTCAATGCCCGGTGCTGTCCTTTGATGAGGGCGGTTACATTCATGTATATAGTTGTATCTTTTGAACCGCAATGAAACGGGCCCGAATATTGACTTGCTTTCTGATCAAGACGTTGAATTGGCAACGCCATGAGCCCGGGCTGGCCCTTTGCACTGCTTTGTTCATCTCATGTCTCTCGCCCAGATCACTCATTGCAACCGCCGAGCCAATCAAAATCGATGAACACGGCCTAAAAAAAACCAGCCTGGGTCAAGGAGATGCAAGAGAATGATTAAAAGTCGTTTGAAGTATAAGAATGAGTATATGGTCTCTCATAACTGTAGGAAGGACCACAACTAATCATCGCTTTTTGACAAAACGATTTATCGAAATCCATCCAAGACTCAGCCGAAACCGCTAGCCGAACTTCAGCTCACTCTAACATCATTCGACTCTGTAATGGCCTCGATATATCCCACAGCCCCAAACGGTCCGGCAGTCAGCAATACGGCCCAATTGTCGGAGCAGAGTCTAATCGAACGGTTTCCTGGTGAAATGCCGTTCCATTTGGGACCGTGTGATGATGCTTGCATGGAATGTGGCGCCTTACACTGGAAGAGCGAAAGGACCCAGGATGACTGAAAGTCAGACCGGGCGACGTTCTCAGCCTGCTGCCAAAAACGGGCGGTCGCGTTGCCAAGCAATGGTTTGGAAAAAACATTGACCCCAGCTTTTGTTCAAGCACTCTTTACTGGTGATGACCCAGGTGAGCATCTTGGTTAATGGACGAGGTCTCACACTGATCCCTTGGTTCTCATAAAGATGCGAAACACTTCCGGAAACACATCAGAGCGCACAATAACTCTCTCTCTTTCACTTCGAACAGGGTCGACACGGACAAGTCCGTCATGGGGAATGGTGGGGCATGGACTTATCGCATTTTCGGACAATTGAGCCATCGCATTGGTGCGCTGCTTCCTCCGGATGGGCAGCCCAAGAAATTTGCACAGATATTTATGAATGGTGATCAAGCAGATTGCGAAGCCGCTGATCGATCACGAGCAGCGGGGGGTGGTCTTCGCCCTCAAATATTAAAGCAGTTCCAAAGATTCCTGTACTCGACTAACCCTTTCGCCAAGATGTATAAATCGGCTGAACAGATCATGAATGGTGTTGAAGTCAAGACGATAAAAATCAAGTCGTTGGCAATCAGCGGACGAGACAAAAATCGTTACAACTATCCGACGTGCAATCAGGTTGCAGCTGTAGTCCAAGGGGATGGGAATATTGGGGATAAGGACCGTGACGTCATCTTGCATAGGAAGAGTGGACTCCTTAAACGGATCTCCGAATTGAACACTACGTACTTTGCACTACATTATCCAATCTTCTTCATGCATGGTTCCCATGGATGGGATGAGCACTTTCGAAACCCGGCATCACGTCGTAAGTGCTGCGTTTCACTGCCGGACGCTGCTTCCGTAGGTTGACATCCTTTTTGGTCAGGTCCGAACGGCAAAGTGAGCAGGTCTGAACATTGCGCGTACCAACTGTTCGACCGCCTTAACAGGTTTTCAGCTGTTCTGCGTCGGGGCCGGCTGCTGCAGGAATATGCAGTGGACATGTATATATGTGTCGAAAACGCAAGACTCAAATATTTTCGCCTGAATCAACCAAGACTCCGGGCTGAGATTTACAACGGTGCAGCCGAGGCACTCCACAACAATGACTTTTCAATCGGTCGAAGCGTTATCCTGCCGTCTTCCTTTGTAGGGGGCCCGAGGGCAATGCATGAGCTATATCATGATGCTATGGCTCTGGTGAAAAGATTTGGCCATCCAAGTCTGTTCATCACGATGACGGCTAACCCAAAATGGCCCGAGATGACGGAAGCCTTACTACCTGGCCAATTACCGGAAGATCGGCCAGACCTGTTGTCGCGTATTTTCTATTTGAAGTTGCAAGAAATGCATAAGGACGTTCGAAAACGAGGAAGGCTTGGGAACTGTCTATCCGACGTCCATACCGTGGAGTTTCAAAAACGAGGCGCCCCTCACGCACACACAATCTTGATCAACGACCCAATTACGACTCCAAGGACGCCGGAGGAGGTCGATCTGGTCGTCTCGGCAGTAATACCAGACCCTGACCAAGATCCGATCCTTTACGATCTGGTAGTTCAATCGATGGTACATGGACCATGCGATAGCACAAACGCATGTTGGAACGGTAGCAAGTGCAAGTATGGTTATCCGCAGCCGTTCAGTCCCGTCACGGCCATGACAGAATGATCGTATCCACAGTATAAACGCCCGGACGACGGTCGTTCATTCGTCAAAAATGGTCACACTTATACTAACCGGGACATAGTGCCGTATAACCGATTTCTGTTGCTTAAATACAGATGCCATATTAATGTTGAGATCGCGACAAGTATGAAGTCAGTGAAGTACCTTTATAAGTACATTGCAAAGGGACACAATAGGCAGGCTCTAGCCTTGGAGAGAGAGGACGAACCAACAGAATACGTCGACGGCCGTTACTTAGCAGCTCCAGAAGGTATGTTGGTTTCGTCGAGACATATTGCAATCAATGCTGATATGGCTTTGTAGCCGTCTTTTGTCTTTTGCAGATGTCTATGTCTGGCAATCATCCCGCGGTTAATTGATTATCCTTGCATGATGAATAAACCAACATGGTTTACTTCCGGAGCACGGCAGCTCTTCAATCCGCTATGAACTCAGGCAGTGCAGAAAGGACCACGCTGACCGAATACTTTCGGATGTGTAGCCGGAATCAATTGGTCACCGGAACCGATTTCACTGTCCGAAGTCTGCTCTACACTGAAATGACTGATTTCTTTTGGTGGGACAAATCCGTAAAAGAATGGGCACGGCGCCAAAGAGACATTCAGTCTATAAGCCGACTCTATTTTGCCAAGCCAGGTCATGGTGATCGATATTTTCTACGACTGTTGCTCACATCAGTGCGAGGACCAACTTCGTTTCAGAACCTGAGGACTGTCGACGGCGTCATCCACTCGAATTACAGGCAGGCGGAAGATGCTAGAGGGCTTCTAATGTCCGACGCTCACTACGATGCCTGCCTCACGGAAGCGGCAGTTTGGCAATCTGGCCACCAATTGAGGGAGATGTTCGCATTGATTCTTGCGCACAGTCCGCCATCTAATCCACAACTTTTGTGGGAAGATCACGCGGATGACCTTATGGACGACTGTCATTACAAGCTGGCTCTGCGCGCTCCGCTCTTAGAGCCATCCAAAGCTCAGCTAGAGAACTATGCCCTATATCTTTTGGCGCAGTCCTTGGAATACATGGGCAAGAGTCTGGACGATGTGGGCTCGAACCCCGTAGATGAAGCTTTATTATTAGAGGTCCTGGGCGATTGCGGAGGCACCGATGATGGTGAAGTCAGCGCTGAAGCTAGCAACAAGTACGTCATCAGTGCAGGCGTGACAATGACGGATGAACAAGGATTGGTGTTCGATGCGGTAGTAGAAAGCCTAGAATCCGACCAAGGCAAATTGATTGTAAGGTCTGTCTACAGAACCTTCACTGAGACTATCAAGAACGCTGAGTAGCACAGCGGGAGCAGGTTTTCTAGAACCCTTGAGACTTTTATTGCAATATCAACGGTCGACCAGTAGAGAAGACTGGTTCCGAAGGATATAGGGATAGGAAGTCAGTCCCGAAATCACTCTACAACAACTGCGCTAATGATAATAGACCAGAGAGAGAAACTGAGAAATAAATGAACGCGTACCTGGTTCCGAAGGATATAGGGATAGGAAGTCAGTCCCGAAATCACTAAGGAACCTAGCGTGAAGGAAGAAAGACAACTATATATGAGAGGCTCTTAAGTTTAAGTCTAATTAGTGTTAAGTAATGATATGTGTAAGTGTAATGACCGTAGGTCTTACATTGATGTTTGTGGACGGCCCAGGAGGATGCGGCAAGACTTACTTATTAAATGCATGTTTGCACTACGCGAACTCGAGGTCAATGCCATTCTTAGCAGTGGCCTCCTCGGGTGTGGCAGCGTTGTTGCTGCTGAAAGGTTCGACTGCTCACTCAGCAATGGGGATACCTCTGGATATTGGCCCGGATTCTACCTGTACATTCAGTCGCAATGATGCGATTGGGAAAGCTTTACTCGGGGCACGGTTCATGGTCTGGGACGAAATCGCAATGCAACACCGGCATGCAATCGAATGCGTTGACAGAAGCCTGCGCGATCTCAGGCAATCGGACGAGGCATTCGGTGGGATGGTGGTATTGTTTTCAGGCGATTTCAGGCAGACATTGCCTGTGGTCGTGCATGGAGGTCTTATGGATACTGTCAGGGCGTGTTTCAAGCACTCCCCGTTGTGGGACGAGGTAGAAGAGTTTGAGCTTACGAAAAACATACGGTTAGGCGATGATCCAGACAACTTGGCCTATGGGCGATGGTTGTTAGCTCTGGGGTCCGGCGAACTGCAGACTTCCGACGTCGAGAAGGTCAAGCTAGAACATTTCAGAGTGATCAGCATAAAGCCAGGTCAGCCATTGAGCCGGAAATGGATTACTCCATTCTTTGACAGTGTGACATCATTGGTCAGGCGCCGTGCGTGGCCTCAACTGGCTCAATATTATTATTGCCGAGCAGTAATCACTACACTTAATGTCACGGTCGCCGAACTGAATGGAATGGTATTGCGAAGTCTGCCGACCGAACAGCGAGACTATTCGTCAATCAACTCTCTAGATCAGGAATATGCCTCACACGTCAGTACAGAGGTGTTAAACGGTTTCAATCCTCCAGGATTCCCCAGCCATGACCTCAGCCTCAAGGTAGGGGCGGTCTTAATTCTCCTTCGTAATCTAAATTTACATTCCGGACTCTGCAACGGTACGAGGTTATTAGTGACGGAGGCTTCGGACAATGCACTCCAATGTTTGATTGTTTCTGGACCGAAACGAGGCGATTGTGTTTGTCTGCCGAGGATGAAGATGCACCACGGTGGGAACACGTCAATCCCCATATCGTTCTTTCGTTTTCAATTTCCGGTGGCTTTGGCGTTTGCTATGACAATAAACAAATCGCAAGGCCAAACGTTGAGCCAGGTTTGTGTGGTGCTGCCCACTCCGGTTTTTGCACATGGCCAACTATATGTAGCCATGTCCCGGTGCATCTCACGGAAGGCGACGACCGTCATTCTGACAGAAGTGTTGCCAGAAAATTCAACGACAAATGTGGTATGTCGTGAATTGGCGAGGAGTGGCGGCTGAGGCCATGAGCACGCACCGGTTAGCAGATGGATTGGATGGTAATCTTTTTTGCAAGTTGAGGTCCATGTAAATAATGTAATATAGTGTTATGTAGTCAGAGATGGCTCGGAAGACTGATACCCTACACTTCCTACTGCAATGGTATGGTATTGCAGATTGAATAGTGCAGTGAAGGTTCTTTGCAATGGTATGAACTATATGTGCGTGCGTTGTGTTACAGGTTTAATGCAGGATGTCGGGAGATTCTATTCAACAAGAGCTAAGAGGTGATGTAGTACAACGTGAGAGCAGTAGTTGGGCTGCGTGAGGTCAGAACAGGGTCACAGTCAAAACCCACTCTTCGTATCATGAGAGGGAGAGCGGGTTTGGGTGAGGAAGTAACGGGGCAGAATGATACTTCATCACTGTGCGATGCGAATCAATGTCAGTTTTGAGTGGCTTTGAGGCTAGGTAGTGTCACTGACGGATGCGTGGATGTTGGAACAGAGGGAACCAGGGTGGTCCTCATTGAGTAGAGCTATGTGAAGGTGGGGAGGACCTCGCCTCTGGAATTCTATGACGGTGTAGAATTGCTCCGGGTGGTATTGAAGCGCGCTTAAAATTGTCATATTGACAATGCCGTGGAAGTGGTGATATTGTGAGCGTGCGACCTGTTCGAAATGTGAGGCGTTGTAGGTCACAGATGGACAAACGGCGTGTTCGATGACCACCTGGGAAACAAAAAAAACCAGCTCAGGATCGTAAGTCCTATAATTACATGGGAGGAAGGACTGACTGGCCGCGGTTTGTGAACTGTGATGGAGGTATTGGCTTCCGGAAGTTGGGTGGTGTTGTTTGAGGAGGACATCGTATGTTGCGAGGGGACAGCTGAAAGGTGCGTGCTCCGGGTTTTATAATGTCTTGATGGATGGCTGACTACGGGGATAGTGCAGCTTGCGGGGGGCGCCACTGCGAGGCACAGGTTAGGCTGGGCAATAGCTGTGGTGGATGCCGGTGGCGGGCAGGCCAGCTTGGCCGCGACGCCTCTTGGTCGAAGGCTAAGGAGAGGGCGACCCCAACCAGTGTCGACCGGGCTAGGACGATGAGGTAGGGCAAGGGCTGCCAGTGTAGACGGTGCTGGGGCAGTGCGGAAGAGCAGAGGCTGAGGCAACGTGCCAGTGGGCGGCTGGCCGCCCGATTCCTCGTTATTAGTTAAATCAATAAAATGAAATTCAAAACATCAAAAGTCTCAATTGAACCTATCAGATACCCTCGATCGAACGATACCTCTGACACAAGCTCTTAACACTCAGCCACCTGATCAATAAAACAAACAGATAACTACTCAAACTTAACGCACAGCTGCTTCTAGACACATCATCTGAATTCATCAATAGCAAACACTCAGACATATTCTCAAACACGAACTCAAACCCTTACCGTTTATTTAAAAACTTCTCATATTAAAATTACCACCCTCAAGATGTATTCAACATTAGAATCAATCACAATGAACAACTTGAACATGTTCTCCAGCCCCACTCTTAGTTTATCACCCCATCCGAGCGATCGAGCGCACAAAAAATCTCCAAATGGATCTAAGAACAGGTACAAATACCAGACCTATGTTAGTACCTAAGAATTCTTACTCCCAGTGATTAACCTCTCCCTCACTATATTAAACTTTAGCTAAACCCAACTACCTACCTTTTCTTCCTGATCTCTAATCAACAAATCACTCACTCAAAATAAAATCATTCATTACCATTATTTTCCACCTGACCCTCCTTAAAAAACCCTTCTACGCTAAAAGATACACTCAAACTCATTGATAATACAACCCTTGTTGCATATTCGAATCGATTCTATCTCACATCTAGATCTCTAAGAAGGCTATCAACTTTTATCTACATCCTTTAATACTTTATCACCAAGTTCAACCCTCTGGCGCTCATATACTATTCAACAAGTTCCTTGACTCTCCTATTCATCCTAGGTAAGATAATAAACCCAACAGACACATCTCAAATACGAGAAATCGAGTGAAACTAGTGTTCAGTACTAATGACTGTCTCCCTTTGTTTTAGATTGTCAACTGCTCAATCTGATCTTTTTAAACGTTCGAACCGGACTCAGACTACTACCATAACCACACTGACTCAAACAGACCATTCCATTAGGCCACCTACCTTCTTGTGATTGAAATCAAAGAATAAGTAAGTGTTTATTTTACCTAATCACCGGAAGATTATTCAAAATAGAAAGACTAATGATCTAAATTCGATTGACCTATCTTATGATCTGTCTCTTATAAATTTAGTCTAATGGCACCTATCACTCCATCATCCTCGAAAGGTTCTGGTAAAAAATCTAAGTTCAGCGCTAACAAGAAACTTCTTGAACAAAGCACTCCTTTACTCGAGCGTCAACTCTCGAAAGGCTCCAAATCTCGAAAATACCTTTTACACTGCCAGCATTAAAGAGGTTCCCAGATGGGAATATGGGTCGTAGGAAACAGACAGCCTTTGTGACTACATATATCACAATGGCGGTCTGATCCCTACAACCCATATTCCCAACTGGGGAACCTCTTTAATGCTGGCAGTGTTAGGTGATAGCTCAAATGCTCTAGATCAGTCTACTCAACAATTAACATTCAATAATCTTGAAGATGAAGAAATGGACCTTACCTCAACTGAGAATAACAACCTCTTGAACCAAACTGACGAATCGAATCCTCTTTCTAACTTAATTCAAACTCAAGTCACTCTTAATGATGAGGATCAATCTGATACTGAAGAACCAGCAAAAATAACTGATCTTACTCAAACTAAATCAAACACTATCAATTCAGATGAAGATGAGGAAGATGAAGTAACTAATACTCAAGTCGAAAAAGACAATGAATCAGTAAAGAAAGTTATGGTTAATGCTGAAGTCTTAGATAAAGAAACTGGTACTGAAATTACGGGTGGTCATATAATGACTCCTGCCACGTCCACAATGCCTCTTTCCGCTTATCGTAAGCTCTTCTTCTTTCTATTAATCTTTCTTGAATCCAATCTTTGATAGAACTAACAAAAGGACTTGATTCTTTATGTACTTTCCTTGCTATAGCATGTCCTGGTGAGATGGAACTCCTCACCATCAACCCACTTCTCCAACTTCGCAAACCAGGCTTTGTTCCAACTGCCAATCTACCTTTGGAACTTCAACTCTGGTGGAACTTTCACTCGGAAACTCACGTGTCTGACGCTGATATGAACTTATGGGCTATGGTTAAGCCAATGTCTGATACACGTATGAATAGCACCTATGAAAGCGTTAAACTCTCTCTATCAAGCTTTGTCAGCTACTTCGAGACGATCTTGGGACCTGGTCTCAATCAATTCATCTTAATTCGATTCAAGAATGCAACTGTCAAAGAAACCCTTCAACAAAACACCAGACTAGACTGTGGGGTTCTTGTGATCTTCAATGGCTCCACCCGCACCAGTCTTCTCATCTTTAACTTAGAACCCATCTCGAAACTCACCCCTATCATGAGCAGTTTACTTGTTGCTGTCACCGGCCTACCATTTCACTTACGTCATCGTAACATAACTGAAGAGCTGTTTGAAATCTTAAAAGCCCATGGCACCAATGACCGTTTTCAGATCACCTTCATCAGAGAACCCAACACCTCACCTGCTTACACCTTCAATGGGGCTAGAATCTTTGAAATCCACTTCGAACAAAAGGCTGCATCTCACTGGTTTGATGTTTTATCTCAAGACAAAGGCTATTTAACTATTACACCTTGGAATTGAAAAGGTGATGAGTATAAACAGAAGACATCTTTAACTCTTTGGAAGTTCATACCCTCCTGTAACCTCTCTGGTACCTCTTCCTACGATGCATCTCACCTTATCAAATGTCCTTATGCCACTGTCAGAGATGATCTAACGCGCTTAATTGAAAACTCTTATGGAAATCGCTCTGCTACTGACATTGGAGCTGATCCTGACTCTGTCCCATTAATATCTTCATCTTCTCAACACAAGATGACCAAGACTGGAAAGTTTACCCGTCATGACTGATCTCAAGGCGATTTTCTGACCAAATAGTAAGTCTTTTAGACTATTTTCTCCATAAAGACATTAAGAAATAAACTAATATGACCCTTACATGTTTTTTTATAACAGATATTGATGTGATTAATGCTCAAACTGATATACAAAGTTCTCACTTCAAGAATAACCCTTGTCCATTAATTCTACTCAATCTTTGCCCTTATAAAGCTTTACTTATCACCTAATAAACAATAGTCTCTGGCTATTTCAAAGAACAAACACTTGTGCGCGCCTACTTATCTTTTTGATATCTTTTCAAACTCATTCCTCATAAAACCACTAAAGATAAAATAAACATGTTTGCTAAACAAAATTGGGTAAATTTACAATCTGGTGGAGTGTTAGAGAAGGGCAAGGAGATGGTACTTTCCAGGTTACCAGTGTGCCACTTTAAGATAATGAGAAGCTACTTGTTCAAAGAAAGTAATGACTCTCAAAGTGATGAATTTTATGACTGAAACCAAAAGCGACACAGGATGTGTGGTGATGGAGTTAATTCCATCTTAGAATGGTCAAGATGTTGAGGTGTAATGAGGGAGAACCAACTAAGGCATGTTTCAAAAGAGCTCTCTTTGGGTAAGAGCTTTCTGTCAGTTAAATCTAAAAACAATTTAAGCATCTTGGCTTGCATAGGTTAATGTGCGTGAGAACAAGACATAATGGAAAATGAGAGAACAGACCAGCAATACAATAAAACAGACAACTTGACGTGTATGATAAAAAGACAAAAAGAAAAATGAGAGAACAGACCAGCAATAAAAAAACACGGAGACAACTTGACATGTAAAAGATGAAACAACTACCTCCTTGCCATTGATTGCTTCCTAGTATACTTGTCAGATGATCCAGGGCTTGCACAGACACCACACATCAAGAAACAAACAGACAATCCGCAACAATCATGGCCTATCTGATGACACCACAATTTTGAAGTTACACCAGACTGACCAAGATGATAACCCCTATCTCTTCTCCAGGGGTAACATGGCATTGGTGGACAAAGAGACAAACTAAGTAATTTCCTCAGTTAGGTTTATTGACCTGAACAAAGAAGAAGACAATTTTTTCCGTGAGTTGAAGAACACCAATTCCATTCTTTACAAGCACACCACTGCTTGAAATTGCTTCCTAGTATACTCGTCAGATGATCCAGTGTACTTGGCGTTGATTTGTTGAAATTGGTCATTGGTTCTTGGTTGATAATAATTAGCCATCTGGCCTGCTGGACGCTTCTTCACTTGAATAGATGATCTAATCTGAGTCTTTTAGGATTGGTGAGATCACGGTTTTGGAAGTGATTTGTCGATCACAGGGTGTGGTGGGTTGCTCTAACATTCCAGGTCATAAGTACAATGATGTTTGGCTGAGGTAAGACTACCTCTGCATTGTATTGGGGAGATTGCATATGAGAATTGTGAGTGATGGCCGGGTGGCGTTTTCCTTCAGGAAGATGGAGTGAAAAGCCAGTGTTATGGTCAACTGTACCAAAGAGACCAACAGTGTAGTCAGTTGAGTCGTTGTCTGCATGTGGCGCGTTGACAAACACATTGCAATTTAGTACAAAACTGTTGGTCTCTTTGATACAGTTGACCAAAACGCTGGCTTTCCAATCGATCTTCCTGAAGGAAAACCTCACCAGGTCATCATTCACAATTCTCATATGAAATTTCCCCAATACAATGCAGAGGTAGTCTTAGCTCAGCCAAACATTATTGCACTTATGACCTGGAATGTTAGAGCAACCCACCACACCCTACAATTGTCAACTCACTTCCAAAACGGTGATCTCACCAATCCTATAAGTGCTCAAGTGAGTCATATTAGGTCATCTATTCAAGTGAAGAAGCGTCCAGCAGGCCAGATGGCTAATTATTATCAACCAAGAACCAATGACCAATTTCAAAAAATCAACGCCAAGTACACTGGATCATCTGAAGAGTATACTAGGAAGCAATTTCAAGCAGTGGTGTGCTTGTAAAGAATGGAATTGGTGTTCTTCAACTCACGGAAAAAATTGTCTTCTTCTTTGTTCAGGTCAATAAACCTAACTGAAGAAATTACTTAGTTTGTCTCTTTGTCCACCAATGCCATGTTACCCCTGGAGAAGAGATAGGGGTTATCATCTTGGTCAGTCTGGTGTAACTTCAAAATTGTGGTGTCATCAGATAGGCCATGATTGTTGCGGATTGTCTGTTTGTTTCTTGATGTGTGGTGTCTGTGCAAGCCCTGGCTCTTTCTCTCTTGTAATCAGCTTTGGAGGCTGAATAGGACATACTGTGGAAGACGTGGAAGACAAAAACACAAGCATCAGTATTGCAATTGAGAGCTAGAAACACTGTGTCTTGAGAATCAAGAGGGAAGTCAATCACCATGAGACAGCCAAGACAAAAAACCAGATTAGGAATTTCAGAAAAAATCATACTTTGTGATTAAATTGGAAAAAATTGGCAAAAAACTGGATGGAGTGAATATGACAAAGAGTTGGGAAGACACAGGCATGTCCCCTTTTAACTTGTAACATAGTATTGCACCATTCCATAATCTATGCTGCGATGCTGCATGTTGTTTCAATGGATTCATACTTTGAATCCATTGAACCATTGCAGCATTGAAACATTTCATCATCACATCATTGATTGTGTGATGCTGTGATGTTTCAATGATCCATAATTTGAATCCATTGAAACAACACAGCATCACAGCATTTCATCATCACATCATTGATTGTGTGATGCTGTGATTTTTCAATGATGAATAATTTGAATCCATTGAAACAACACAGCATCACAGCATTTCATCATTGCATCATGCAATGATCCAATGATGAAGTGGATTCAGAATTTGAATCCATTGAATCATTGCGGCAATGTGCATCATTGCACAATTGCATTGAAACATTGAATGTCACCAATTCATCATTGCAGCATTGTACGATTGCAATTCTGCGATGAAGGTTTCAATGGGATCATTGAAACATTGAATCACACTGCATTGCAGGACTACCTGTCCAGCTATGTAGAGCAATCTATAAACCATAGCTGTACAACTGCTCTAGACAGTGCTATGCCCTATTGCTCCCTATTGCCGCTTGATTGACCTCAAAATCAAAATCAAAATCAAAGTCCCCTATTTTATATACCCCTTAAGGTAGGGCAAGGTAGGGCTAAGTGTTAAGGAACAAGACCCACCTAGTCACAATCGCTTCTCAAATCAACCAGAACAACTAAAACAACCATCACCACACCCACAACAACAACAACAACAGGATGTGAATTGAAGTCAATCATTCTCTTACCTAATAGAACTCAATCAAGGAAAGATCTTATTGGACTGTGAATGACCTGATACATTCAATAAAATCAAATTGAATTAGAGAGTCAATCAATACTAACACCAAATTTAAATTTATTAGTCTTATCACATCCATTATTATCTTCATTGCTTATTACCACACTTACAAACTAAGACAAACTTAAGATGTCCAATCTATTCTACTTTAACTATCAAAGGAATGGGAAAATTAACGGTAGGAGGATCTCATTTTCAACTTTCAAATCAATTCCAGACTGAAACCGATGAAGATGATTTATTAAATACTTCACAACCTTGGAATCAAATTGTTTAATCAACACCAACTCATCATTCAAATTCAAATCAGAATCAAAATGATCCATCACCAAAACAAAATCAAAATCAAAACCATCAAATCATGAATGAATCAAAGGATGAAATTCAAAATGCACCAGAAAATTCATCAGAACCTCAGTCTAAGACTCAAGATCTTTGGAATTTATTAATAAAAGATATTAGAGATTTCTTCAATAGTATCACTTCTATTAGATATTCTGAACCTAATTGTTCAGCAGGTTCAATGTCTGCTTTGCCTTGCAACCCTGAGTCGACTCAACCCTCATTCTTGCCATATTGTGGTCATGAATCCTTTTCAAACTTGATTGAGATGTCAGCTCCTGCACCATGTAAGGAATTCAAATGCAAAGTTCAAACTCGTGTTTTATGTCACTGAGTCTCAAGCTGGCAATATTGCTCTTTTAGAGGAATGGGGAGAGCTAGAGAGGTTTATTTCTGGTCTTGGTGAACAAGGAATGTTTTTCATTGGTGGAAAAACTTTGGTGTGTAGAAGGAGAGGTAGAAGAAGTTGATGATATTGTTGAAAAGCAAGTAGGTGTGGTGGTCAATGAGAAAGAAGATGAGGGAGAAGATGAAGAGTAAGAGATTACGAACCAAACTGTATTGAGTGCCAATGAGAGAGCATTGAGTTCAGAACTTGATAGGTTAGGATTGTATGATGATATGGAAGATGTCTTGATTTGTTAAAATTGAATCTTGAATATTATTTTAATTTGATTGATTATAACTTATTCAATTGACTGAAATCTGTTTATTTTGCTAACACTATAAGATTGTTTAAAGTTGAGATAGAGAAACATATGAACAACACACAAATTTTTCCTCAACTTAACGACACTGCACACCTCCCCTTCTTCTGTTTTTAAATCTCACATCCCAAAGATAATTTATTTTATAAGAATTTTAATCTTACTTTCATAGACCATTTCTCAAATTTCTTAGGCAATTCAGGAAATTGAAATTAACTCTTTAATGCAAAACTGATGAAATTTATACTTAACTCTGTTCACTACTTGTTATAACATTTATTTAGGATTATTTTTGAAAAC